AGAGAAGGATTGGGAGAGGAGGGGCGTGGGGGGGGGAAAAAGCCCCCCCCCTCCCCCTGAAGATTATGGGGGATTTCCTTTCCCCCCGCGGCGGCGGCCTTCATCCAACCATTCCTTCATATTGACCCCCAAACATTTATTACATGAAAATAATTTAATAAATACTACTTTTACTGCAACTACTACTACTAACAACAACGACCCCTTGGATAGTCCCACCAACCCTTGAGAGTCTATACTGACCACTTTGGAGAACCCTGATCTAGGGCTATATAGATGGTCAAAACTAGTACTCTGAATTGCAGTTGGACCTCCGACAACCAGGCAACTACATTCTGGACTGACTGAAACTAATGAATGGTTTCAAAGGGAGGCATATGTAGACTTATTGCAGTAGTCCAGGTGAGTAGTGATAAGGGCCTCAATTATAAGGATCTCTCACTTCAGGTATGGCTGGTGCACCGGTTGGAGCTGAACAAAGGCCAGACAAAGATGTGGGTGGCTATGGCTTCTACTTGCCCATCTAGCAGTAGCTGTGAATCAAGGAGAACTCCCAGATCACAGACCAGCTCCTTCAAGGGGCAGTGCCACCCCATTTCAAGACAACACCAGAGACATTGAGGAATCTCAGTGAACAAACTGCAGCTTGATTTCAACTTCAAATGATTTATCCCATCCACACCCATGCAGCCTTCAAAAACTGGGTCAAGACACTGATTATATTTCTTGTATGGCTCCAGAGTAGCAACATACAACTGACAGTCATCAGCATATTGATGATACTGTACCCTTGACTGACAGATGATCTCCCCCAGGAATTTCATGTAAATATTTGATTCCCAACATTTACCTGAAAGGAAGATGGCCCTGATTTTAAGATAATCCTTCCCTCCAAAAGAAATGATAGATAAAAAAAATCTCTCCCCATTACTGTGCTTTAAGAATATCCATTGAAAAGATTATTTAAGGAAAAAAAGACTAGTCAGACGAAAATAGCTACTACTCTGGTGACAATAACTCTTGTCTTTGTCACCTCTGAAATATACTTTGCAATTTGCTAAACACAGGGCTGCCTTTGAAGACCACCTCAAAGCTATAGTTGGTGCAAAATGCAGCAACTCAAGTTTTGGGTGGGAGCGCCACTGTACTCAAATAGTCTGGTATTGCAGGATCTGTTTTGGTCACCAGTAAGTTACTGAATAAAATTCAAAGTGCTGTTTTTGACCAACGTGGCTTGGTGCCCAGGTATCTCTGGGACCATCTGCGATAAGTAGAATGTATCCATGCACTCTGCACATCCCAAGCAGGGAGGGTGAAAGTTTCCCCTCTGGGATTCAGTGGGGCCCAGAAGTCAGTGCTTTACTGTTATGGAATCATCCCTCTGGAGCACCCTTCACCCAGATCTGAATGATGGCCTATTTCCTGGGGGTTAGGAAATAATGAAGCCTGAGTCGCTTCACAGAACTTTTAATTGTTAAGATTGCTGCTGGAGGAAGGGCACCAAGTTAGGTTTTCCAGTATTGTGGGTTTTGATTGTTGTAATTGTGACGTTGGTATTTTGGCTGATTTTAATCTATATTGTAAAACTTTTGGGAGACTTATAGGAGTGTGGCGATCTATTAGTTAATCAATGTTCCTTTTCTTCCTGTTTAGATTAAAGCAGTACAACACAGGACAACAAAGTTCCTGCAAGGTTAACAAGCACAGAAAAGGAATTCTCTGCAGGGACAGCTTAGCATACAAAGGTGAGAAAGAATTCTACCTGCCCTTGCAACTTGCACTGAATAAATATCATTAGAGATGTGCAAAACAGACTTGCTTGTCTGGAAAGTTCCATTTTCTCCCAAGAGTGTTTCAGGGATTGCTTCTGCATTTCTGGAAATATGTTGACTGGAACAGCAAGTTGATTGTGGTCCTCCAGATACAGTCAGGCGTATCTTACTCATTTCAGTTGAATGTTTTTGAGGAAAGTCCAAAAATTACCCAATAACCTTTAGTAATTAATTCTAGTGTGGGTTTAATAACCATTTCCTGATGACTTGTAAAGTGGTTTATTGTTGGCTCCTGAGTTTATTATGGAAAACACTGAAAAATTAAAATATATCTTTCTTTGGATAAGTGGTATTTAAAATATGGGAAGCAGGAATTACTGAAAATTAACATAACAGAAAAGAATCTTAAAGAACTTTTTAGTTAAGGACTTTTATTCATATTTGCTCTCTGTATTCATGTTATGTTAATGAAACTGTTTCTAAGGTATTACCTCCACCCATACAAATGTCCTTTTGGACAGAAATATTAAATATGGATGTTTAGAATTTATATCTCCCCTTGATATTGAGAAATTATTTCCATATACTTCCAAATTTTGTATGCACATGTGGCTTTGGTCCCATATAATTTTTATTTTTATTTTCTGTTCTATACTATTGTGATGGAATGGAATTATGAAGGCCAAGCTCAGGGAGACAAACATTTTCTTAGCTC